AAAATATATTGTAATTTATTTTTATGCCTCCATAGTCACCACCTTAGTCTAAGCTATCATCAGTTTTTTAATCTTTATTTATTTAGTACAGGGTCTTACTATGCAGCTCAAACTCATACTGATCTTCCTGTCTCAGCTTCCCTAGCACTAGGGTTGCAGGCATCTGCCACCGTACCTGATTCTGGTGGTCAGCACGGTGCACCTGGGGTTCTGGGGTCAGCTGGCATGCAGTACTGGGGATTGAATCCAGGTCCTCACACTTGCCAGGCAGACACTTAGACCTCTGAGCTATCTCCCCAGCCCCTGCCCATGTTTTTTTTGAGGGAGCTTCATTAATTTGCTCAGGCTGATCTTGAACTCATGGGTTCATGTGATCCCACTGCTTCACCTTTCTAAAGAGCTTGAATTACAGATACATATCACCATGCCTCCCTTAACCACTAGCCCTGCTGGGCCTACTGCAATACATTCCTACCTTCCTAAGTCCCAGGCAAACTCAGGCAGTTTAGTAGCACATTATTCCAGCACTTAATCCTCTTTAGCAATGAGTGGTCTTAGTAAATAAAAACCAAAACACAGATTTTTAGAAGAGAGTGGTCTCCTATAAAAACAAATCAGACCATATCATAGCCTTGCTTAAAACCCTAATAGTGTCCAGCTGCACTTCACATAAAATCCATTCCCCACAGCCCATCAGCCCCATACAACCTTCTTCCCATTACCTTGTCAATTCCCATCTAATACTATTCTACCCCCACCCATGCTGGCTTCTCAGTTCCCCATACACATCAAGGTCTTTCCAATCTCAAGACCTCTGCATCTGAAGTTCCTTTTTCATGGAATGCTCTTGATTTTGTTCTCATCATGTATGGTTCCTTCATAACTTGAGTTTCAATTTTATCTCAATTGGTTTGGGACTTTTCCAGATTTAGCACTGAAGATCCTTTTTTTTTTTTTTTTGCAGAACCGGGGATTGAACTCAGGCCCTTGTGCTTACCAGGCAAGCACTTATTCTACTGAGCCATCTCCTCAGCCCCTCCATTTTTTTTTTTAAACTTGTTAAAATTTCAGATGCCTCTTCAACGCCTTTTTAAAATTTTTGAGACAGGGTCTTGATAAATTGCTCAGGAAATGCTCAAATTTGTAAGCATACTGCCCCAGCTTGAAGGTCCCATATTATAGGAACCTCCTCAGGTCCAGGCAAACTCAGGCAGTTCATTACCCCATTCATTCTTTTCTTTTTGGTACCGGGGATTGAACTCAGGACCTTGCACTTGCCAGCTCGTTTATGCTACTGAGCTATCTCCCTAGCCCCATCACTCTAGTCTTTACTAAATGTATCTTCTGCTGTGGAGACTTGGACCACTTTTAATTGCTAAATTATTTTGTCTGTTACAGCAGACATGTGCAATTTGGCTATTCAACACCCCATTTTAGTAAGGAGGCAGCCTAACCTCCCAATAAGGGGGCAGTTATTCTCTATCTCACTCCTTTATAGACAACTAGATACTTCTGCCCAGAATTTTGAACCTTGAGGGGAAAAAAAAAAGAATACAGAGTAGGTGAAGTTATTCCATGGCTGTTGCAGCACAGTAAGGATATAGTATGATGCAATAAGTATTCTTTTTAAAATACCTTTAAAAAATTCATTTATTGTATACAGGGTCTCACTACGCAGCTCAGACTCAATGATCATCCTATCTCAGCCTCCCCAGCACTGGGATTACAGATGTGAGCCCCCAGTGGCGGGCCCCAGCAGTACCGGGGATCAAACGAGTATTTACACTTGCCATCAGGCACTTAGACTACTATCTCCCCAGCTGAGAAGCAAGTATTCGTAGCATCAGAATCTAGCAGCAGCTGAGCCATGGTCTACTGCAAGCAGTGGTGGCAGCACAGTGTCCTGCCCACAGGCAGCAGCATTCTGAGCCCAGTCTTCCAGTAAGAATATTCTGGTTAGGCCTTCACTTGGGTTTCCATTTCCCTAATGATGCTCTGAGTTCCCCAATATGCTCCAGAAAATCTCTTCTACTCAAGGTAATGAATTAATTTACATAATTGTAATCAAGAATTTTAACTACAACATCGATTAACTTGATTTTTAAAATTACTTTTTAGGTTTTTTTGGTGCTTTGCTAACAAGAATATAAACTCTAGTCTGTGTCATTCACTGCTGTGGCACCAATGCCTAGCAGAGTACCTGACCTCCCACTTTTACACACCAGGTCTTGCTATACTGCTAGGCTAGACTTGAACTTGAAATTCTCCTGTCTTAGCCTCCTGAATACCTAGTATTACAAGTAAGAGCCACCATGCCCAGCTTTTGTTCCTGATACTTAACAGGTATTAATAAAAAA